TTGTAAGTGGGTAACAGATTATGGCTTGGGTCCTGCCTAGAATTTCCATGGGGAAGGCATGTGATTTTCACCAATCCCCTACCTCTTGCAGGAGACCCCCATCCAAGCTATTCCTGGGGGACCTCTGCACCTCATCCCAACCCAAGCAGCATTTCAGGAAATTCTACATGGGATCCAAGCCTACAAGCTGAAAAGTAACTGGGGCTGCGGTCACACGGAACAGAAGCCACACAAGTGAGACGGAAAACAGGCGGAGTTTCCGGGCGCAATCTCACCAGCACATCTGGGAAGCGTAGCACTCCCGTGGCACAACCGAGGCTTCCAGCCGAAACTGCGTGGCAAAAAACTAGTACCTCGGAGGTACTAGTTTCCGGAAACTGCAGGGCAAGGGCGGGCGTCTGATCACGTTTCCGGTGGCATCCGGCGCCCGCCCATGTCCCCTTGCAAATAAGGTGGGGTTTTTTTGTCCACATCTCTGTGGATGCGCACACACACCCAACGGAGCATGCACATTCGTCGTGTACACACAAAACAAAAACAGTTTGCCGCGGCGCACACTTCTTCGTTGCGCGCCGGCTTGTCCTGTGATCAGCACCTCTCCCTTGCCATGGAACCTCCACGGTACCTCCACAGGACCTCCACAGGAGGTCTGATCGAGTAACTGCGCAGTAGTTTGCCCCAGGGCAAACAGCCACGCTTCTCCCACGCAGTTTCCTGCCCGTATGACCGGGGCCTGCATATATTTTTCTGATGTTAAACATTCACAGGCAGTAAACTATAAAGATTCTTATGCTTGGCTAGCAGGTTACAGAAATTTTGTGCTGGCCATGAAGAAATTACTTGTTCTCTTATCCATTTCTTTGAGCTTCCCTCTGGAACACAGCAGCCCTGTCTAGCAAGGAAGGTTGGCCATGGCTCTGCTACCCCTATGTATGAGATGATGCATCTCCCAGAAAACAATATGTCAGAAAGTTACATGTTATGTTGCCACAAATACTTGCTATGGGCTTGCAGTAACTAACAGTCTATGTATCTGCTATACCAAAGGCAGAAAAACTTAAGTGGGGAAGTAGTCAGGACTGTGCTCTGTGGAACATTTTTATTTATGCCGGCTTTAGAGAACTTATTAAAAAACTGCCCACGAAAACTTTGATTAACGATAGCAATCTGGAACATTCAAAATGTTTCCTTTTTCACACAACTACTTAACAAATAGTATGCTACTTAGTAAAAAGAAAATCAATTTTAAAAATACTCACAAAAAGCAGCAGGAGCAAAGGAGTTATAACAATACCCTAGAAGAAATTTTAAAAAAATTGTTAGTTTGAAAAACAGAAACTTTGCCAAATCAAATCCTGATGCATGAAAACGTTAGACATCCCACTGCTACACATTTGGATTAGTGCATATGCTTTCAATACCAGAGTAATGTCCCTGCATCACAGGGCCAGAGCCAGCGGTGGGACACACAGGGCTCTGCCTCCTTTCGATTCTGCAGCACCCCACGTGCATCTGAAGATGCCACAGCACTCCCAGCTCCCCCGGCCACTGCACACCTGAGAGATTAGAAGGTGCAAAGAGCAGCCTGCTCATGCTGGCCTCCATGCGCACCAGCCCACCCCCGCCGCTTCCTCCTCCTGTCAGCCTGTGGGGCTCTGCTGCAGCCGGGGGCCCACCATTTATTTATTTAATCATACTTATATCCCGCCCTCCCAGCCATAGCCGGCTCAGAAGAAGAAAAAGAGATTGGATTTATACCCTGCCCTTCACTACCCAAAGGTGTCCCAGAGCGGCTTACGAACTCCTTTACCTTCCCCTCCCCACAACAGACACCCTGTGAGGTAGGTGGAGCTGAGAGAGCTCTGACAGAAACTGCTCTTTTTCAAGGACAGCTTTTGTCAGAACTATGGCTTGCCCAAGGTCATCCAGTGGGTGCAAGTGGAGGAGTGGGGAATCAAACCCGGTTCTCCCAGATTAGGGACCGTGCACTTAACCACTACACCAAACTGGCTCAGGGCGGCTTACATAAAATACTCAATATATTAAACAATTAAAACAGTTAAAACAATTAAACAACCGATTTAACAATATAAAGTGCTAGTGATTCATATTGCTGTTAACGATGGCAGCTGATTTCCGTAGTCCATTATAACGTAGTCCATGGCCAGCCCCCGCTGCTTCCTCCTCCTGTCTGCCTGGGGTGCAGATCTCCTCCCCGGGGAGTAAGCCCCAATGGGCCCACTGCCTCTTACTCCTGAGTAAACACGGCAGGGAGGGGATGGGTTACATCTGGCAGGGGAGCAAACCAACAAGCCAGTCAGAAGATCCAGTCTGGACTTGGTGGGTGAGCCAAGGCTGAGTTCCATTCCCCTGGCTTGTTCAGCCTCCCCCAGCTGGTTGCAGCTTCTGCAAAGCCGCCATTCAAAAAGCCCAGTCTTGGGGAGAGAAACGCACAGGCTGGAGAGAGCCCAGTCTGTGGGGCCAGGAGCACAACGGCAAGGCAGAGGCCTTTAAGGGCTGGCTCTGCAAAGGCATTTCCACTCCATTTGTTAATTTTACTGGTATTTAATAACTTAATTTTATTGGGGCCCCCGGCCCCCCCCCCCCGCAAATTCCTGCCTAGAGGGTTGTTTCATCAGTACCATAAGACCATGATTTGTGAGTTTATGCCAGCCAGTCTATCCTTCTTGATAAAGATTTTCAGCACATTCAAAAGCAAAAACTGGTCACTTCTTATGTGAGTCAAATTAGTGCTTTTAATCTGCTGAAATCTCCGTAAAGCTCAGCTCTGTTTTCATATATAGGTTCAAGAGTGGAAAAGGATTTAGATTCACTTCAGTTCAGGGCATAAGCTATCTTTTCATGCACTGTCTTCCCACTTTTGAGTCTGACAACCCCCTTTCCCTCCACACACACGTCATAAATATGGAGGTCAGTGCTTTACAGACCCTTCCCACCAATGCTGCTTAATAAATGACCTCTTCTGGAGAGGGGACAGGTGGTTTACTATCATGCTGTCTGAGCAGGGGCCCTCTCCTGAGTAAAGTCTGCATCAACAGTGATGAATTAGGTGTCATGCGATTTTGTAATGTAAACTGATATCCCCTAGGAAGTCAGCTGAGATCTCAGAACTCATTTCACTTGATTAGACTCCATGTCTCTGTGGTGGGAAGGCAAGTCTTTCATCTAATTCAGTCACACAGCACCACTTCAGCTCTCCACAGCCCCCAAGCAAAGAGAGGCAAAAGATTTGTTTTCTTCAGTGACAGCAAAGAGGTTTAGGATGATCTTTGGGCATAAGACAAGGTTTTAAGTCTCATGAAGACAAAACTTAAAGGCAAGGTTTTAGGACTGGGAGACAACATGACAAGCATCAACTTCACAACAGCAAATGGCAATTCTCACTTCACCCATTCTCTCATACTTCAATACTTTATCATAAATTAATAAAATAGTCTGCTACTTAATGCATATTAATTCACAAACCTTATGTAGCCCATTCAAAACTGATGTTGTTTCCCCGCAAATATTTGTTACGAATCTCCCTCTGTATTTTTTAAGAAAGCAAAATCTATTCAAATTTTTTTTAAAGGGAAGAATTTAAAGAAGTACAAAAATGGTCCCAAATCTTTGATCTGGATTTGTTCAGCCATATTTCCCTAGGGTACCTTGACATGTCACTCTCGGTTTAGGTTCTATGCTTGTAAAAAGGGAATATTCATGACCTTTATTCACAGGTTTGCTGAGAAGGAAGAGAGAGGCAAGGTCTGTACTTAAATACATACGTTGTGTGCCACTACAGATTCTGAAAGGCTGTAAACTGAAAGAACAAAAATCTGAATTTCCTACACTCAGTGCTGTCCTCAAAGACCTGGTGGCAGCCAATATCATGCTTCCAAGAGAAACTTAAATGTTCAGAGAACACCAGTTAAAATTAAATTAATACAGTGTGATAAAGATTTTTTAAAATACCACCTTACAACAGCTTAATTCCAGCAATCAAAATTTAACTCTTATGCTAACAGAGTTTGAAAGGGGATAAACAGCAGATACCAAGTAGATTAGATTTATTGTATACGGCCATTGGCCATTACACTACAATACAAGATTACATTCAAAAATGCTTGTAATTTAAAACATTGCATTCAGGATAAAACTCAATCATACAACTAAAATGTACAGCTAAAATGTGCAGATAGCAAGTGAGCTTCTTTAAAGGAGAAGGCTGGAGAACAACATTTCCCAAAACTTTGACTGTGACGCAGGCTCAGCCTGCTCTGAATAACATTCAACAAATCTTCATGCTCTCCTCACTTCTATGTACGGTGGAAAGTGCCAGGATCCATATCTCTGGGTTTCACATTTTTTGGATGAGAGAGCATTGGAGTAGAGACTTATAGTATCTTGCCATGACTCTACATCAGAGCCTCAGAGATAAACTACCTCTACCCGCATGCCAAGGTGCTTCACCTTCAAAAATAAGCATGGTACTGCCCTGACCTGGATAGCCCAGGCTAGCCCAAAACTCATCAGATCTCAGAAGCTAAGCAATGCAGTGTTCCCTCTAAGCTGAGTTAGTGTGAGCTAGCTCACAGTTTTTTAGCCTCCGGCTCACACATTTTTGTCTTAGCTCAGGAAGGTTGGCTCCAGAGAAAATTAATTTATGCAGAAACCAAATCGCTCGCTCACAACTTTAATGCCAGTAGCTCACAAAGTAGAATTTTTGCTCACAAGACTCCACAGCTTAGAGGGAGCATTGCTGGCAATTACTTGGATGGAAGACCTCCAGGGAATACCAGGGCCGGGATGCAGAGGCAGGCAATATCAAGCCATCTCTCTGAAACATCCTAGCCCCACTAGGGGTTGCCAGAAGTTACCATGACTTCCAGGCACACAAGTACTCACACATACATACAAATAATCAGGGCTTTTTTTGTAGAAAAAGCCCAGCAGGAACTCATTAACATAATAGACCACACCCAACAGCAGAAACTCATTAGCATATTAGGCCACACCCATGACAATACAGCTCATTAGCATATTAGGCCACACACCCCATGTTACCAGAAGTGTGGTCATCCAGCCACACCCACCTTTTGCTTCTTATTCTGTTTACCTTGTTTGTTGTCAAAACCCAGGCCTTTTTTGTAGCAGGAACTCCTTTGCATGTTAGTCCACACACCCCTAATGTAGCCAATCCTAATGAGTTCCTGCTGTTGGGTGTGGCCTATTATGCTAATGAGTTCCTGCTGGGTGTGGCAAACTCGGGAGCCAGCCAGAACTCCGTTCCTGTGCGTTCCTGCCCAAAAATAGCCCTGCAAATAATCACAGAAAACCCCAAATACGCTACTGTTCTCCATACACCATCTGCCGAGCACTTATCTTATGGGCCACTCTTCCAGACCCATCCAGAGAAAGAGCTGTAGCTATTAAAAGGGACATTAAGAATCTTTTGTTAAGTTGACAGCTCCCTTCCAGAGTTACTTTAGACAGAACCATGCTCCATCACAGCAAGATAGCAAATTTACCACACTATCTTCCTGCATTTGTAAGAAGAACCATATTTTTCCCTATATTTATATTTCACGTGTCTTTGGATCAGATTCTCCTGTATAGCAGAAAACACTTCAGCTGTAATAAAGAGAAGAGAAAAATGAAATTGATGTTTTGTCCTTAACTCCAAATCTAAAGACCATGGCTGCCATGCCTTTACTGTCGAGGATGCGCTGAGATGAGTAACTTGTTTCACCACTTCACCGTCTTCCCAGCAGTCAGATTTATCAGAATAATGGTTCAAAAAGGATAATTCTAGTATTTCTTCGCACATACAAGAAGCCAGGCTAGCTCCACCTACTTTAATACACTCAGGAATGAGTTCCTTGTCATCAACAGAGTAAGTATTTATAGAGCCAAACTGTGCCCCAAGATAGGAGTATAGGGGAGAGAGAAATAATTTCCAGGGGGGAAATTGTACTCTTGTGGTATAGGCCTTTCCCTTAGATTCTTAGGAAGACATGGCATTTATCTGTAGCATAATGGGGTCTGAAATACAAGGGAAGCTATAGGGACGTGGTAGTATGGGATTATGATACAAAAATTTAGAACACAAATTGCAAGTTTTTATCTAATTTTATATACATAATTTGATGCTTTCATGCATCTTCTGGCATGCCTTTAAGTATAAGATACATGTCTAAGTTATGTTCTGAATCCACATAATGTCATTATTTAGGTCTAAATCCATAAAGCAATGACTTAAGACACTGATAAAATTAGACAAATCGAAGAACACTAG